TGAGAAGCAAACCGGAAGTGGCCTAAATATATTTAGGGCTGAAGCATGTCGTGGAAAGTTCACACTCTGAATTATGGTTTTGCATTCTACGCGCATAGAGCAAACGATGTGGTTGTGCTCGTAATGGCAGTTTATAGATACTAATAAAGCACAGTTACAAATTTTCTGACTTCTGTTAAGAAGCTTAGTTACAATTTGCTGCAACAAAAAAGAGTGTAAAAGTGACGAAAGCAAAGTATCTGGATGCGCAGGTTTCCATGCAAATATTCCGCTAGGCGGTACAGATGTACAGAAATGCAAAAAGGGAATTTGACGGTCGTCATTTCCCTTCATCGCTGATTTGATTCAGATAGTGAAGATCCATGCAGTTCGGATGGTGCTATTCTGATGGGCCAGGATACAATTCGAAATTTGAAAGATTTACGGAGGACGATGAAACTAGCTAAACAGCGGAGCATGAAGGCAGCGAAATCAATTCGCAAGGGTACTGACGATCAGTCTCTAAAGAACGAAATGAAGGAGCTGATGGAACTTGGTGCGCTTTGCGTTTTATCGGCTATTTAGTAACTCCGATGGCTTCTGCATATAACTTTTTCTCGAGGCGTATATTATATTGTTCTTATAAAGTCCCATTTCTTCGGTTATCTCGACATTAAGAAATTTTTTTATGTCCACCGCTCACTTTGTCTAGGTGCAGTTTGGACAAAACTCAGGTGGCGACGCAGGTGGCTTGCCGATGCGATCATGCATTTTTACGCTAAATTTATAGCAGACAGTTCGTTAGTAGTATGAATTGTTGCTATTTTACAGTTTGACATGTACACTCATACTGATTGCGTTTTGGTCTTTTCTTGCGTGGGCGATAAAAATATCCGACTGGGATGGGAGTGTTACATCGTGCAGCTGCGGGAAATCTTAACCTTCCAACCGATCGTTCATTAAAATTGCAAGTTAGGTGATGAACGATCAGGTCGGAAAGGAAGGATGACAAAATTGCGCAAAAAGCGCTCATTTTGGGCTTGGGACGGAACTGAGCATTTATTATGTCCGTGTACAGGGGATTAGTCCCGAAGTTGAATTTAGCCTCCAAGCCACGCGAGGATATAGAACATTCCTTCAGGATTTCAGCTTCGTAAATTGTCCAGTACCCGAAATCACCACTTCGTTACTAATATCTTTGATGTGTTCTAAGGCGTGATACAAGTGCAGTTCGAAACTTTATTTG